ACACCATGGCAGCTCTATTATGCCTCCAACATTCATTAAGTCCAAATGCCCATTCTTCTGCAAATACTCCCTGAGTGCCTAGTACGTGCTAGGTCCTGACTTGACGTTGGGGACACAACAACGAGCTCAGTGGGGTCCCTAGACTCCAGAGGCTGACATGAGAGATGGCAGCTAAAGATGCAGATACATATTATTCAGCATGGCGACCCACTCAAGGCATGGGCCAGGTGGGGTGAGCAGCCCCAGGAACGGATTGCAGAGTGAGAGGGGTTGAGGGTACAGTGCAGAGCCTGGGGAGCAGTCTCGCATGGGCTGGGCACCAAGGAGGAGTCAACGAAGGTGACCAAGAAGGAGCAGCCATGATGTGGGAGGAAATGAGGAAGGAAAGCAAGAGAAAGCGTTGGCTGTGACAGCGCCACACGGTGAGAGCTGGTGAACCACCGTCGGCAGCCGACCTATAGCAACAAAGGCCGCTTTACGTTTTCCAGAGGGTGAGTGGAGAGTGGGAACCATGAATCTAGGCTGTCGCTTAAGAAGTCTGACTGATATGAAGCAGGGAACTCAGTAAATATTTCTGAGTGACTGTAACAGAGAAGGGGCTGGGGAGCAGGGCAGCAGTGAGCACAGAGGCCCTGGGCCAGGGCAGGTCTTCTTTTGTTCTTTTGGCTTGTTTTGTCTGAACGTGGGTGATACTGCACCAGAGGCTCTCAAACTTCCCACTATAACCTGCTAGTGGGATGTAAAATCAATGTTCAGGGATGTGACCACTACTGTTCTTCCTAAAGGAATACAGTAAGATCGAAAAGAAAGCAGCAGAGCGTGCTGCCTGTGGTCAGCGTGAGTATTGGCCTGTCGAACTTTTATTTCAGCTTTCTGTGTATGTACATGCAGGTTGTGTGATAACATCCATTTCTTACTGTGGGCTGTCACTTAAAAAAATCTGCAAACCTCTTGATAGAACTTGTTTGCTCAAGGAGTAGGAACGATTCTAATGGCCGCAGGGTCGACTGCTGTGGAGTAGCATTCTGTAGTTCTGTTTGTCCTGGCACAGAAGGTAATAAATCTAGCACACATCCCTTTGCATGCAATAAGGTAACCACACACCCCAAGCCTGATAAGAAAGGTCCCTGAGTTCATTGGCCCTCAAGGGCTAGACCAGTCGGGAGGGCTTCTGCACCACAATGGAAATGAGACATCGTCCTGAATAGAGGGTGATGCAGTGACACTGGCTGGACAGACTTTGTCAGCTGGAAATGGCCTTGCAAGTACACTGTTATTAATAAGCCATTCTTGTCCACATCAGTTGGGGACAAAGCCAGGACTGGAATCGCATGTCCCGACTTCCAGTCAGGGGGCCTTTGCCTAAAGAGAGTGGTGGTAGGGCACAGCTTGCTTTTGTCGGGAAAACAGGACAAAGAGGAAACAGGGGAGAGTCCGAGGACTGAGAGACTACAGAGAGAGAGAGGGACAGAAGGGGGAACACGCAGACGGAGAAGGGGAGGAGTGGTGCCTGTGGGGGAGGGGCTGAAGGCTAGAGAGTTGTGGGCCTTAGGAAGGAGACTGACAGGCTAACCAGAGAGGGAAAAGGCCTCCCAGAGCCATCCTCCTCCCTGGGCACCCTTCTCTGGGGCTCTCTCTCTCTCTCTCTCTCTCTGATGAACATCTGACAACGCAGAGACCATCCGCTCATGACAGAGTGCCCTCACTGTACCACAGCAGCACAAAGGAAGGACCTCCAGTGGTAGAGTTAAGGGTTGGGAAGTTTGGTGGGGGCGGCTTCTTGGAAGAGGGTATACTGAGCTGAATTTTTAATAGTAAGTAAGAGGTGGGGTGGGGCAAGGGACACTTCGTGGAACAGCAAGAGCAAAGACAGGGAGGAAGCAAACTGCCAGAAGCTGAGGGGAAGCCCCGCCAGCTAGGAGCACGGGCTCGCCAAGTGTCAGCAAGAGGCAGAGCTGGAGAGGGGCTGCATGGAGGCACAAACCAAGTGCTCCCAGGCTCAAAGGAAGAGAAAGTGTGGCAAATGGAAGTGGCTTTGAGGAGGAGGCAGCCTGCTTGGAAGGCAGCGAGGACTGCAGCTGGTAGACTGGGCTGAGAAAGTCATTCCAGGCAGGGGAAAAAGCATGGAGGTGGGGAGTGGGAGAGAAATATTTAGGGAAGCATTTGATTGGGCAGGAGAGGAGGGGTGTTCATCGTGCAGCGTCTGCCGAGACACCAGCAAAGCCCGTGCACAGAACTCCACGCCCTGCTGAGGAATGGCTGGAGTTATCGCAGAGTGCGTTTTAAGTTCTAGCTGTGTGACCCTAGACGAGTCACTTCTGATATGGGACAAGGTATCTGGTTAACAGGCCCCTATAGGGTAGTTAATGCCACCCTAGTCACCACACTTAATTCAAACTAGGCTAAGACAACATCCTCAGTTTTCCTTCCCTGAAGGAGGTTTTTCTCTCTGAATCTGTTGGGCAAGAAAGGGGAGAGGGTCAAAGGTTCTTTCTTTAAAAAAATTGTTTTATTATGTTTATTGACTTTAGAGAAAAGAGGAAGGGAGGGAAGGAGGGAGGGAGGGAGAGGGAGAGAGAGAGAGAGAGAGAGAGAGAGAGAGAGAGAGAGAGAGAGAGAGAGAGAGAGAAACACTGATTGGTTGCCTCCCAAATGCGCTGCAGGGTTGGGGGTGGGAGGGAAATGAACCCGCAACCTAGGCATATGTCCTGACTAGGAATCGCACCCCCAACCACTTAGTGTATTGGAGGATGCTCCAACCAACTGAGCCACACCAGCCAAGGCTACTTTGAGTCTTTTGTTTCTTAATAGCCAGCTTAAAATCAATATCTCAAAAGGCAAAACGTGTGGTCCCCTTCAAGGCGAGTTTGAATGTTGGCACTGAAAAGTTTTACAGGTGTCATGGTCCATCCTGCAGACTTGCAGTTTAGAAAGGCCTCCCCCACCCCACCCCCTTCAGTATGACAGCAGACAGGAGGGGGAGCCTAGAGGCAGAGAGACCGTGGAGTGAGGTTCAGGGCAGTGGACAGGTAGGGCTGATGGAGATTCCCCACCAGAAGCCCCCGGAGGTCACCTCCTGGCTGGGGAAGATTAGGGTTATGATGAAAGTAGAAGTATTCAGAAACTGCCGCCAGCCAGCCACCAGCCTCGGTGTTGTTTGTCATGCTTATAGTGACTGAGAGGCCCTTTGGAGGGGCTTAGAGCCTCTAGCCCAGCTGGCTCCACTCTGCATACAAAGGGCAGTGGGAGATAGCATCCCTGAGTTCCCCAGGAACGGAGTATTCGTCTCCAGTTCTCAGGTGCGGAAGTGAGCCTCACTCCACAACACACATGGAAGGAGAAGGTTAGAAGTCCCTAGGCCAGGGTCAAGGGATAGGGGGGATTTCTTTGAAAGAAAGTCCCAACCCCACAGGAAGTGGGGGAGGCTGACCACAGATGGGCTAGTGGGGCCAGAGTCCCTGTGTCCTCCCTCCCAAGCCTGCTGGGCTTTCCACACTCTACCCCACCGCTGACAGGAGACATCCCAGGACAATCACCGCACAACAACACACAGCAGTCCTTCCAGAGAGCCAGACTAACGCTTTACCTCACTACCTGGTTTCACTCCGCACAACAGAGACCTTAGGTAAATTCCTCAATTTTCCCCAGAGCTGGAAAGTGGCAGGACTGGAGACTGACCCTTGTACACCAAGCTTGGGGTCCTCACCAAATGCTAGTTTTTGCTTTTTCCAGTCTCTCTCCCCTCCAGCGCCAGGAGGGCTCTGGCTCCTTCCGAGGGCCTTGGGATGCACTGAGAACCCTAAGTGGGTGCAGAGATGACTTTCAGCAGCCCACTTATTCAGCTTGATTGTGAGAGGTGAGAGGATGCGAAGGAGTCTGTGGTACAATTCCAAAGACTGATGAGAAGTCTGAGCGGGTGGCCGCACTGGCCTCACACTCCTGGAAGCTGGGGGAGAAGGATGGGCACAGAGGAGAGAGGGAGCTCTCCCTGCACCACACTGATCAGGTCAGGCTCCCAGCCTTCCCCCTGCACGTCCCTCCTGGCAGGTCCACGAGGTCCAAGGGTCTGGGCCCAGGCGAGTGAAGACCTCACGCCACCACTACACGGAGACTTTTGAGTGCAGAGGGAAGACTTGCAAGAACACTTTGTTCTGTGGGCAGCAGCTTTGCTTTTGCTGCCCTGAGGCCGGGGGTAGTGGCCTCTACAGGCCTTCCCTATCTCCCTACTTGCCTCCCTCCTTCCCCAGGCAGACAGGCAGACACACACAAGTCTAAACATTTTTAATTTTTAAAAAAATAAGGAAAGTGATAAAAAGACTGGGTGTGCAAGCCTGGGCTACTGCAAGGGGAACACTGCCCAATCTTTGCACAGCAGGAAAGCTCCTGAGAGGTCCAGGTTTGGAAACTAAAGCCCCCCTCAACAATGCCCCACACCCCATGCCTCTGGGGTGCATTAGAACTCCCCCTCCTCCTCCAGTCTGTAAACTGGGAGACTCAGACCTCCCCCATCCACCTGTGGGGAATGCACCCATCAGGCAATTTTTAAAAGTTTTTTGGATGTCTTTCTGCCTTTTTTACTACAGACAGGGGTTGGGGGGTGGGCTGCAGAGGCAAGAATAGACCTACATCGCTGCCTAGTCACACATGCAGTTTCCCTTCTTAGAATTCCAGAAACCAGAAGTTCCATGGTTCCCTCCAGGAAAAAAAAAAAAAAAGTCTGATGCTTTCTTCTCTCCTGCCAGGCTTTCTGCCTCATCTCGAATCTCCTTTCTCTGCAGGTTCGTCTTTCAGCCTGTCTCTCTCCGCTTCAGATTCTTGGTCTGCCTCTCGCTAACGTCTCCGGACCCCTTTCACCCGAAGGAGAAAAAAAAAAAAAAAGATACCAACGGGAGAAGAGGAAGCCTCGCCCACCCAATCTCTTTCTTACCAACTCCCTCCACCAATCCTCCTCCCACCCTACCCCCACACACAAACTCCAGCGACCTCCAGATGTTACCGACCTAGAGGGCCATCTGCTGAGACTTCTCAGGCACTTCGGAGAGGGGGCAGGGATCCGGGTTCCTGGAAGCTGGGAGCAAGACCGACTGGATTGGGCGGGAGCAGCGTACGCACTTTTGAGACGCTCCCTAGGGTGGAACCCGGGCTCGGCGCGGGCTCTGCGGGCGGGCGCGGGCTGGGAGCGGAGAGCGCTCCAGGAAAGACCCGCACTTTGGTGACACTCCCTAAGTCTCGGGGCCGCCAGCCGGAGCCGCCACTGGGTGTCTGGCGGGCTGAGGGTTCTCCCGGCGGCGGGCGGGGACCGGGGCGGGGGGGTGGGGGGCCGGGCCGCGCGGCACAGAGAAAAGCGCCGGCCGGAGAGCCCGCGGCCGGGCCGCCTGGGTGAGCGTGCCAAGGCGGCGGCAGCGCAGGCTTCCAGGTGGGTGCAGGTCCCCGGGTGGAATGGGAGTCCACGCTGCGAGCGAAAGTCTGAAGCCCCGATCACCAACCCAGCCGCCCCATCAGGCAGGCGGGCGGCGCTGGACACAGGGCCGAGGACGAGGGCCTCTCAACTTTTTTTGGACCCGGGGTGGCAGCCGCAGCCGCGGGACGCCCGACACTCGGCGGGAGTGGGGAACCCACTCCAGGGGGAGAGGGCTTCAAAGAGACAAAGGCTTGGATCGCGGCTGTGGGCCAGCGCCTCTGGGGTCTTTGTGCGGACACGTGCATCTCGCGTTTGTGGGCCTTTGTGGATTTGGGTCTGGGGACGTGGATCTGCCTGCGCCTTTGTGTGCCCATGGCTTTGCGTTACTGTTTCGCTCTTTTGTGCACATTTTGTGGGCCCTCGTTTGGTTGTGGGTGTTGGTGGGCACATCGTTGTGTGTCCGCTACGTGGTCTGAGCCTGTCGACGTGTCTAGGTTGGGAGTCCGTGGAGTGTGCGCGCGCGGAGAGCCAGACACCGCCCTCAACTCCTCGCTCCCCTGCTGTTCACCCCAACCACCCCCCCAACTTGGCTTCAAACTTTTCTCCGGGTTCCTCCGGCAACAGCCCCTATCCTCCTCTCCGCTGAAGTCTGGTCGAGGGGCACTGGCATCCCTCCCCTCTTTCGTCTTCTGGGGTCGTAGAGTCCAGAAGAATGAGATAGGATTGGCGGGTGAGGGAATCGGCAGCACCTGGGTACTGGCCCTGGCCAGGGCGTGAGGAGTGTGCCCGACACCCTCGCCGAACCAGCTAGGTGGGGAGAGGGAAGCGGTGGGTCGAGGACCCCGACCGGGAGCTGAGGAGAGGGCAGCCGGTGTTGCCTGCCCCGCGCTTGTCCGAGAGTGTATGTGACCGAGAGAGATAAGTCTACCGTGCAGAGAGGCCAGCCCCAGTCCCGGCTCCGCTTTGAGATCCGCTCTCCGTTTGCATCCTGGGGGGACTAGCCCTCTGCTCTGGTAGGTGACGAGCTTGTCCGTGGCGCTGGCTCCGAGACTCCCAGGTGGACTGCGAGGGGTTAGGAACTTTGCACAGAAAGGTTGCGAATGGCCCACAGTACTGCACTGGGCAAGTTGCTCAGTCTGTTATGGATGAGGGTGAGCGCTCCCTGGAAGTGCCCAGCATTCGTTGGGGATAACCAGGGCAGCCTTCCAGAGCCTGCCCGAGAACCGAGTCCGTCCACTTTAGGCTTGGGCGAGTAGATGTCTCAGGAACCCCTCCCATGCCTCCTCCCTACTTGCTCTACTCTTCGGGGAAGTCCAGGCTTGCGAAGCCCAAGTCTGACCCTAGGGGGAGGGCTCAGGCGGCAGGAGCCTGCTGGGCTTTTGATCCTGCATAGCAAAGATAACCTTACTACCTTGCCACCCCCACATTGTGCCCCAGTCTTAAACTTAGATTTTCACCGGATGTTGCAGATGTGATGGAGGGTCACAAGCCCCTCCCTAGGAAAGGAGGCCCCCATTGGCACGTTCCTTTCCCTCTCTGGGCCTCAGTTTCCCCTCTGGGAAGAGAGATGTTGACAGCTTCTCTCTTCCCTTCCCATTCTGGCTGACTGGTTGAGACCCCAGAACCTGAAAACACTTTGATGTTTCTTTTCACACACACCTTTGTTCTGACATGACCAATTCCCTGAAACTAATTTGCTCTTTTGAAGGGGGAGAGGGAAGGTGGCTTTGAAGTTAGGGAGGGATGGAGTGAGATGGGCCAGGACCCCTTGGAGCCCAGGAATGAGTGGAAGGGTAGAATGCAATAGCTGGGGGAAGCCAGGTAAATATACCCTGGAGGTAGGAAGTGTCTCCCACAGAGGGAACTACACTGCATGGCTCTGTGTGTTCTGATCACAGAGGTGGGGTTGCGGGCGGGGGGGTTGGAGGTGGATTAGAATTCAACTGAAGGCTGGGAGGGAAGGCAGGGCCAAATATGAAGTCCTTGAATGCCAGGAGCAGGGATTTGAACCTTTAGGCAATGGAGAGCTGCTGGAAGGTTGAAACAGGCATGACAGGGCAGGATTGGTACTTCTAAGGAAACTTCCTTTGGCTTATTGGTGGTTCTGGAGGCTGGGAGACCAGTCTAAAGGTAGTTGAGTGCTCCACCCTTTTAGAGTCAGAAGGACCTGGATTTTACTCCTATTCCGTTGTTTCCTAGTTCTGTGGCCTTGGGCAAGTAACTTGACCTTTTTGATTCTCAGTGTGCTCATCCTTCAAATGAGGATAGGAATTCCTATCTCGCTGATCTGTTGTGAATGTTAACTAGGATAATGAATTACATGTGCTAATAAAATGAAAAGAGGTTTGTAGTCTATTACATTATGAAGACATTTATTGAATTACACTGACAATAGAAGGCGGAGACGGCATCCACTATGGTCCTGCACCTGATTTCACCACCTGGCAAAGCCCTTAGTATGAAGGCTTTCTGTCCAGGGCATTTCATTCATTCATCTGATTTATTCCCCTTCACATGGCCAGGCCCCATGTGGGAGAGGAGCTGGACACAGTCGGATTCAGAGATGGCCACAGACCATGAAGTATGTCTTGCCTTGACAGATGGCCCAGGGGCCAGGGACACCCAGGGGGAAAGTGACCTTTTGCCAGATGAGGACACAGGTTAAATTGGGAAGGCCTCATAGAGGAGGTGGCTTTGGAATTGAAAGAGTGAGATCCTGCACAGCAGACAAAGGAAAAAGACCACCTTCGTAGGAGGAAAGAGCCTGTGCAAAGGCATAGGGCCCTAGGAGGGGGACAGGCCTCTAGACTGGTGAGAGATAGGCTTTACACAGGAAGCAGTGGCAGGGTCCTTGTCTTCTGCTGGGATTGTACTCTGGCCCCCAGCAAGCCCAGCCATTGGAGGCAGGAGGCCAGGGAGATGGCTGTTGCCACAGTCCAGGCCTGGAGGCCTCCTGAGCCAACTTGGGCAGTGTGAGTGAGTGCCTGACTTAGGGGTGAGGGGTGGAGAAGATACTGACCCACCCACCAAGGAGAGGTTGCTGATTCGCATTTTGTCACAGAAGACACAACTCCTTCAGCCTGCTTTGGCCTCTGAGCCTTTTCCAAACTCACTAACTTCCTGGTAGTGCTCTGCCAGCACTTGCAGCCCCAGGGGGGCTCAGGAATGGTGCACTGAGGAAGAATCCGAGGCCTCAGGGGATGTGGATGTTTTGGATCTTGTGGATCCCCTGCCCCTGCCTGGCCTTCAGGTCTCCTGGTGTTGAAACTCCCTGTTCTTTCCTGGTCCCTGAGATCACTCATTGGTGGGGACAGGAGCCCACATGCAGTGAGCACCCACATGTGCCGGGCCCAGGCTGTCTTCTCTCTCTCTCATGCCATCACCCCAGTAGCCTGCTGGGAGCAGTGCTGGGCTTCTCACCACGTCACAGGTGAAGACCCAGACTCAGGGGTGAGGGCACACGCGTGCCTCGTGGTGGATGAGACCCTGTGGGGTTGGGGCCCTTTCTGCCTGGTTGCAAAACCCATTTCCTGTGCCCTGGGCTGCCTCCCGACGTGTCCACACGTGCTGCCTCAGAAAAGCTTCAGAAAGAAGACACACTGCAAGGAGAACGAGTATTGAGTATTGGGACCTTGCCCATATTGGGACCCTTGCTGGTTTTCCTGTGGATTAGCATCCCTAGGGGAGATGGTTGGGCCCCCAGGGCCCACCTGCACCTGCACAGATGTCCTGGAGGAGGCCAGGTCCTGGGTGTCAAATTACCTGGCTCCTGAGTCCAGCCCCTGGCTTCCCAGGTTGTGTGACACTTCAGTGATCTCACTGAACCTCCGGTAAAATGCGTAGGATGCCACCTAACCTGGTGACCTTGCAGGGTGACTAGGCAGGTAACCACTGGGGAGGCACTGGAAAAGCTGAGAGGTGCCTTAGGAGAGGTGGTGGTATTCTAAATGCCCGAGATACCTTCATGCAGTACTCACTGTGTGCCAGGCCCAATGCTCAGCCCCAAAGACATAAAAATGAACCTAACCCCATCCCTGCCCATGAGAGGACAGATAGGCAAATGTCCTTATAGCCCAGCATGATTAGGTAGCCATCATCCACACAGCCATTGGTATGCTGAGGCACGTGATATGAAAAGCACTGGATTTGGAGCTAGGACCTCTAAGGCTGAGACCTGGTTCCCCTACTACCCCGCTGAAGAATGTCAGTCTCTTTGCAAAACAGGGACAGTAATCCCCACGGTCAGAGGTTGCGGTGAGGCAGACACGAGGCACTGGTACAGAAGTGCGTGATGAGCTGACGTGTTTGTAGAGAGAGGCAGTGTTAGCGGTTCTGTTGGGAGCGCCAGACCTCAAGACTCCGGGAGTTGGCCCTGAAATTCTTTTTGCCTTGAGTTTCCGGAGCTGACAAGTGGTTGGGGGGCAGGATGTTAATGGAATTTCCACCTGGGGATTTCACTGGCGTCAGCTTGAGTGAGCTCACAAGGAAGGGAGCAGGGCAGGGTGTGAGGCAGCTGGGCACTGAGAAGCAGCTGGGGGAGGCCAGGGCCTGTCTCCAGTCCGTGCAGGGCTCAGGTCCAGCCCGAGGCTCAGCTCCCTGCCCACCTTGTTCCTGTGCCAGGGTCTCCCTCTTGAGGCTGTGGTGGAGGAGCTGGCAAACCTATGGGTCAGAGATGCTGCGTTGCCAAGGGGGCCAAGCCAGAACGGCTAGCCCCACAGAGGTCTCAGAGGAGGGAGCGTGGGGCCTTGCTGGCAGACACCCGCGCAGTGACTGGAGCACACTGGCACGACGGCCACAGACGTGCCAGGTGCCTGGTACTGCGTTGGGTTCTTGAGTACCGAAGAACATAAAGAAAAATGACACCATCAGTGTCCTCCGGAAGCCTAGTAAATCATGACCAGCACCGTCTCCTGTGCCCTGAGCACTTCGAGTGTGGCAGATAGCGAGTGAGCTGAATGCTTCACACACTCTCTGTTCCATAATGCTTTCACTAACCCTGTGTTGTGATCCTTACTGAGGACACTGAGACCCAACCGGATTGAGACTTTACTGAGGCTGGTAGATACAGAGCTGCATTCAGATCTGAGTCCAGTGGTTGACTCTTAACTGCCGACTCTATTTATCCAGCAGTGCCACCCGCCAGGCCTGGCTCTGGCCTCAGGTGGGGGAAGGGGCAAGCAGGTGAAGAAGGTGGGGCCATTGCTTCAAGCTGCTCACACTTCAAGTCAGGAAACGGGCAGGTAAACAACTAATGACAGAGAATTTACTCAGTCTGTGTCTGTGGAGGTATGCCCAAAGTGTGGTGCGACACGCCCCTGGGGAACAAGCAAGGGAGGGAGGGGTGGCCCGGGAGCCTGAGTGGACAGAACGGGCTTTGTTCCACTGGTGGGGCCAGGGCAGGCCGGTGGATGCGGGTGATGCTGGCAGCAGTGTGAGGCGTCAGGACTCGGGTCCTGGGTCCACTTCCCTTCTGTCACTGCCCCTGTCTGCCTCAGTTATTCTCCCGGGGGTCTTCCAGCTCTCCAGCCCTGGAACTCTCTCTGCATTTGGGGAAGTGTGAGCAGAGGCTGAGATTAGTTCAGCGGCTGCCACCATCACTATAGGTCCAAATCCAGACTGAGGGGGCGCGGGGCGGGGGCTAGCCTCTGGTGGAGTAGCTCAGTTGGTTAGTATCTTCCCAGTATGCCAAGGTTGAGGGTTCAATCCCCGGTCGTGGTGCATACAAGAATCAACCAATGAATGCATAAATAAGTGGAGCAACAAATCTGTGTTTTTCTCCCCCTTCCTCCCTTCCCCTTTCCTCTCTCTGTCTCTCAAAAAATCAATAGATAAGACGGGGAGCTCAGCCAGGGGAAGGAGGAAGGTGGCACAACTTGCAGATGTCTCCTTGCTAGGGAGAACTTGATTTCTGGGGGCAAAAGTAGGAAGTCAGAAGGTTTTTGAGACTTCAAAGTTGTTTTAGAGGCAGTCTAGCAAGGCCTGGAGTGCCACCGTGGGGAGACTCACCTGGGGCCTGTTAGGACCACACCATATACTCATCGGACATCATGGGCCACCAGCAAACTTGTGGCCCCTGCCCAGAGGACTGTATGCTGTGTCCCCCAGACCAAGGGTGGGTACAGTTTCTGAGCCCTGGTCCTTCTGCCCTTGTGTCCTGTAACCTGGCTGATCGGTGAGTGGATCTTTTATCTGCACGTCAGGGTTTAGAAAAGAAGTGATGTATCTGGAGCCAAAGATCCCTGTCCCCCCTCAGCCTTCCGTGGTGACCAGCTGTCTGCCTTTTCCTCTCTCCAGAGGGCGGATCAGAGCTCCCAGAGGGAGACAGAATTAATACTGTTAACACAAGTGCAAGAACCGAGGCTCAAAAGAAATGAAGAAAACTGCAAAGGTCATGTAGAGAGTGGCCAACCTGGTCTCCTGGGGCCAAGGCAGGTATAAGTGATCTCGATATGAGTCAGGGTCCTGTCCCCAGTGCTGGTCAGTAAGCCCCATGAGGACTTAGTATCCGCACCCTACCCCAACATACACTTCACACAGTACTTAGCAGAGATTCAGTAAATGCTTTTGTTAAATTTTGAATGCCTGAAACACTGGAGCTAGCTTGTCTAGACCTAACCTCTCATTGTGGGGCTGGAGACACAGGCTCAGGGAGGGAGGGGACGTGTCTGAAGATGTGAACAGGCCCTGCAGAGCCTGGACTAAAACTGGGATCCACAGCTGTTGTCCAGGACCTGCCTCGTCACTGCACAGTTGCCCCATTGTGCCCCCTTCACCCCCACACCTGGAGAGGTGAAGGAGGTGGGAGGTGGTCATGGGTGCCCTTTCTGGGGGACTCCTTCTACCACATTGCCTGGGAGAGACACAGGCACCCATTGACTGCACATCTCTCAGTGTCCTGGCCCCGTGATGTCTAGTCCTCATAGCAACATCCTTGTGGGAGGGATTGTTGTCTCCGTTTCAGACGAGGAAATGGGCTGAGGGAGAGGAGGACACTTCCCAAAGTTGCTGGGTTTAGCAGGTGACGCCTGTTCCCAGTGATGTAACGCCTTCAGATCAGAGAATGCATCCCAGAACGGCAGCTTTCATGTCAAGGGCCAACTCTAATCAGTGGGGGGAGAGCACCAGTCAGAGGAGAGCTCTGACTGAGGTCCTGTGCAGATGCCCTAGGAAGTGGTGCTGTGATTGATTGGTTATGTCTGCTGTGGATATGGGTGTAGGTAGAGTGAAAAGGAGCAATCTTTCCCTGATGTGGCTTCCGCCCATTGGGGTCTCATTTCTCTGCAGGGGTGTCCAGCTTATCTGTCTGCTCTTCACATCCAGCCTTTCTGAGGCCAGTGGGACCCTCAGTGTCATCTCAGAGTCACAGCTGAAGGAACCGGTCCAGAGAAGTAAAGTGACTTTCCCAGTTAGCAGTGCACGTTGGTGTCCAAGGCCGTCTCCCCATGAAGGCCTTTCCTCTTCACGGAGCAGAGGCTGATGGTTTTTGTCAAGGGAAACTCACATTATTCATCCCTTCCCAGACCCAGAAGCCCTGTTGAGAAATATCATAGTGTGGCCTTTCTGGAAAGAATGCCCTTCAAGGAGGGCGCTGATAAGGGCTTTGGCATTGTGATGACATGGTTCTAAAGGAAGGAGGAAGAGGTGGGGTCGGGCCCACCTGCTGATCCCTACCCCGTCAGCTGCTGTCTGGGAAGGAAGGCAGGGCAGCCCACTCTGCCCTTCCCCTGTACCGGGAACCCCGCTAGGTGCCTTATTTCTGTAGTTTTGTTTCATCTTCATGATGGTCCTGTGAGGTGGCTATTGATATCCCATTTCACAGGTGGGGAGACTGAGGCTCAGAGCCTGTGGCTGCCCAGCATCAGAGAAAGCAGAGGGAGTCATGAGTGAGGCAGTCCTATTAGGAGCCTTTGTGACTCAGTGTGTTATATATATATTATGTATATAAAATATTTTATTTTACTATAAGAGAGGACATGGAGTGGGGGTGGGGTGTGAAGAGATTGACATGTTTAAATCACTCAGATTCTACCATCTAAAGAAAACCACTGTTGTGTTGGTATATTTTCTTTTGGCCTTTCTAAAATTAGGATTTGGGTTGGGTTTGTTTTTTTTTAATGCATAGTTACAGTTGTCCTAGACATGCAATTTATCTTATGATATCTATCATTATGGCATCAGCCCCCTGCATGAGGTTGCAGACTCTTCGGAACGTTATTTTTATGGACTCCCTGAGTCCCCAGGAGAGCCAGCAGCCAACCCGAGTGGGCTGGGAGAGCTTCGGTGGCCACGCCTCCCTGGGGATCTAGGGACAAGTCACCACACACTCCCTTCATCACTGAAGTGAAGCACTGCACGCCCACTCTGCAACCTCCCAACGTCAAATAAGCAGTCCTTTTTAACTATAAATGCTGTGCCCCAGCAGGAATTTTCCTTATCTTCCCTCAGTCCCCTCCTGGGAAGCTCTGCCCTCCCCTCGGCCTCTGAGCCTTTTCTGAAGGCCTTCTTCCAGCGGCAGTGGCTGAGCCCAGCATCTCCGCGACACAGGAAGGTGCCCTGCTGTGTGTTCCTCCAAAGGGGGACACTTCCTCTGAGCAGAACACGGGCCCTGGTGTTCGAAGACCACCAGCCCGCACCTCTGCCTTTGCCCACTTCTGGGTCCAAAGCCGTGAGGCCTCTCAGGGATTTCTCCTTTCTCTTCCTGACAGCCTAGGATGCTCCTGAGAGTCTTCTGGGCTCGGCTGTGACCTCAGGAAAACCCCAGAGCCACTAAATACTAAAAATCTTGGCGCCTGCGTCATTGCAGCGGTCAGTCACAGCTAGAGTTTGGCCCTGGGACTCTGGACACCTACCTCTTCTTTTCCCAGAAACGCACAGAAGTGTACATTCCACTGGAACCAAGCCAATTACGAGGTTCCAAAGGCAAGAGTTCAGTTCTCAGCTCCACCACCTGCCTTTGCACGTGCTCGGTTTCCTGCGCTCTAACATGGACTGAGGATTGCATATGAGAGAACACATGTTCAGCACCAGCACCTGGTGAGGACCGGCTCTGATTCAGTGTCGGCGCTTCCCAGGGGGGCGTCCAGGCCTAGCAAGGAACAGGAGCCCAGGGAGAGCTGTCCACTGTGCGGGGCTGAGTGAGGACCTGTCCAGGATACCTTGGGAGCGCTAGGTCTCATTTACGCCCCTGCTCCTTTTACATCCGCTGGCCTTACCATTGCCTTGATTCCATCCCCACAGTGGCCCACTGATGAGCATCTTGCGTGTGTGCATAGCTCTTCACAGTTGGATTGCATTTCAGGGAGTGCCCATCCGCTCATGTGAGGGGGTCAGGGCAAGAATTACTGCTTTGTGGTTCAGAGGACAAGACTGAGGCCTGGAGCGGGGCAGCAAGAGGCCCCCTCTCTGGAGGGTTGTGTTTGAGCTCCCAGTTACATAAGCAGGAGCTCATGAGAGGCCATTTGGCATTTAATAGGTATGTTGTATAATGTACCCTATTGGGAACAAAAGGGTGATCTCAAGGCCTTTTTTCTGTACTTGTGTTGTTTGTTTAAACCCCAGGAAGGGTGAGTATGAGCAGATCAGCTTAGCAGGGAGGGCGGGGCCCTGAGTGGTAATGAATCCCTGTGGTAAGAAGCTCTCACTCAGGGGAACAAAGGGTACCTGCAGCAAATTAATTATTTTCCTTTTGGTTCCAGACGTGGGAACACTCTACCTTGCCACAGTTGGGACCAAGCCCAGGATGCACCTGGGCTGGATTTAATCCTCAGATTGTATTCTATAATAGAAAGGCGTGGGAGAGGAGGGACCTCATAGCAGGGCAGGGGAGAAGAGCCCCACTTCTTCCGGACCCCATGCAGAGCCCGTGTGTGGATCAGGTAGCTGCCCCTTTAAAGTTTCATGGAGAGCTGGTAATACTATCGTGTTGTTCCCTCCACATCCACCTCAGTCTAGAAGGCGGGCAGGTCCCCGGTCCATCCCTCCCTGAAGGCCAGTGGGAAGGTGCGAGGGAAGACAGGGTAGGGTGCAGAGCAGGGCTATCCCAGGTGACAAGACCTGCTGGCGTGAGGCAGGGCGCCTTCCACCCCCTGGGCTGCGTGGCTGCCGTGTGGCGGGAGGGGACAACCAGAGACTGTCCAGTTAGATGCCTTCATCACTCACCCATTCCTCATCCTCCCATGAGCATCACGGAGCTACAGTGGGTGTGTGCACAGGCTTTGGGCCAGACAGACGTGCGTGGGTGTGAGGACTGAATGTGACAGTGTATGTGTAGTGCCTGATGTGTGGCAGCTACGACGTAACTGTACAGGGATGGAGACTGCCAGGAGAGGGAACGTGGCTTATACCATAGCCCATGTCTGGAAAAAAGCCCCTCTTGGATCTTGTCTCTTCACCAGCCTCCTTGCCAGTCCTGCCGGAGGCAGCAGATGAAAACAGAAGAATTGGGATTGAGCAGGCCCTGGTTCTAATCCTGCCCTGCTTTTTACTAGTTGGGGTAAACCCTTTTCCTCTCTGAGCCTCTGTTTCTTTATCTGTATAATGGGAGAACCAGCCCAGCTGCCTAGGTTAAAGGAAGAGCCAGGGAGGGGTAATACCTGTATTATCTGGGAGTAGAGACAGAGCAAGGGGTAAGAAGCTTGGGACGGGTATTCCAGAGCCCATCTGGAAGTCTAGACAATCGGAATAAAGGATCCTGCCTCTGGAGGACAGGCTAGGCGAGGGGGCTTAGGACTGTGGACTGGTCCATTGTCACCCACTAAAGAGGTAGGGTAGGGCCACTCCTCTCAGGGAGAGGCCTTGTTCTGGGAGGCTGGCATGTGAGTCTCAGGCGTGGCCCAGCCACTGCCAAACTGCGACCGTGAGCCATGCTTCCTCGTGCTCCATCTGCTTCCCCTCCCAGTTACTTGTGGCCAGGCGTGACTTTCTGAACCTCTCTAAGCCTCCATTCCCTCTTTGTGAAGCAGTGACAGAAATTTCTACCTTGCAACTTTTTTTAAAGATTTATTTTTAGACAGAGGGAGAGAAACCTCAATGTGTGGTTGCCTCTGGCATGCCCCCAACTGGGGACCTGGCCTGCAACAGGCATGTGCCTTGACTGGGAATTGAACCAGTGACCCTTTGATTTGCAGGCCATCACTCAGTACACTAAGTCACACCAGCCAGGGACCACCTTGTAATTTTTGTGGTTGTGAGGGTGAAGCAAGCCTGTGTAGTGAGGCAGCTAGCACAGCACACGGCACATGCTCAGCACCCTGACCCTGACCCCTAAGCTGTGAGCGCCTCTCTAATAGGATATGGATCAAGACCAGCCAGTGGACCCTACATCGCCAGAGCCCTGGAGCCCAGCCATAGATCCATCTACTCCAGTGGGCTCCCAGTAGGGCTCGTTAATATCCTGCAGCAGAGATGGTGAGCAGGCACGGAGGGTTCCAGGCCCCTGCCCTCCCTTCAGCCAGAACTGGCCCACTTTCATCTGCTAATCTTATTTAAGATAGGGTTTTGCTGCGTCCAGTTGAAAATCCACCGATCTGGCCTCACCCCCTTTACCCCACCAAGGCCTGAGAGTAACAGGGATGAGGAGCTATACGAGGAGTATTCGGGGAAGGCATCCTGGGAGGACAGGGTGCCCGAGGCAACTTGCAGCTGCACCTAGACATACTGACTGGTGTCCTGTGGGGTGGGCTTAGAACCATCCAGGGTGCCTGCTGTCAGCACTCACCTATGGCTCTCTTTCTAGCCCCCACCATGCTGTGGTCCCTGCTGCTGTTGCTGGCCGTGCGCTGCATCCAGACAACCCGACCGTGCTTCCCCGGGTGCCAGTGTGAGGTGGAGACCTTCGGCCTCTTTGATAGCTTCAGCCTGACGCGAGTGGATTGCAGTGGCCTGGGCCCCCACATCGTGCCCGTGCCCATCCCTCTGGACACAACTCACCTGGACCTGTCCTCCAACCGGCTGGAGACTGTGAACGAGTCGGTGTTGGCAGGGCCAGGCTATACCACGCTGGCCGGCCTGGATCTCAGCCACAACCTGCTCACCAGCATCTCGCCCACCACCTTCTCCCGCCTTCGCTACCTGGAGTCGCTCGACCTCAGCCACAACGGCCTGACAGCCCTGCCCTCCGACAGCTTCACCAGCTCGCCCCTGAGTGACGTGAACCTCAGCCACAACCAGCTCCGTGAGGTCCCAGTGTCCGCCTTCACTACCCACAGCCAGGGCAGGGGGCTGCACGTGGACCTCTCCCACAACCTCATCCACCGCCTGGCGCCCCACCCCGCCCGGGCCAGCCTGCCCGCACCTACCATTCAGAGCCTGAACCTGGCCTGGAACCAGCTCCGCACCGTGCCTGACCTCCGGGACTTGCCCCTGCGCTACCTGAGCCTGGATGGGAACCCGCTGGCTGCCATCGGCCCAGGAGCCTTCTCTGGACTGGCTGACCTGACACACCTGTCGCTGGGGAGCCTGCAGGGTCTCCCCCAGCTGGAACCCCATGGTTTCTGTGAGCTGCACGGCCTGCAGGTACTGGACCTGTCGGGCAACCCCAAGCTCAAGTGGGCAGGAGCCGAGGTGTTCTCAGGCCTGGGCTCTCTGCAGGAGCTGGACCTGTCGGGCACAGGCCTGGTGCCCCTGCCTGAGACACTGCTCCTCCACCTCCCAGCGCTGCAGAGCGTTAGCGTAGGGCAGGGTGTGCAGTGCCGGCGCCTGGTGCGGGAGGGTGCCTACCCCCGGCAGCCTGGAGCCAACCCCAAGGTGGCCCTGCACTGCACAGACATGGGGGGACAGGCTTCCAGGGGCCCCACCACCTTGTGACAAATGGTGTGGCCTGGGGCCACGTCACGAACTGCTGCCCTGGGCCAACTCAGGTCCTGGGAGATTTAATGTGCCAATGCCAGTGGGGACTCTGCAGGCCTCTGTGGCAGCATCACTGACAGATAGCTGTGGACCTGGGACTAACCCCAGGGGCAAAGTCTTGCTCCTTTGTCTGTATTGTCCCCAAACCGTAAGCAGAGGGTCTTTGATGTGAAACCAGACAGCAGCCCCCTGCTGTCCTTCCCCCACTCTACCACGAAGTGCCTTCCCTCAAGCCTGGGCCAGCCTGACTGATAGGAGGAAGGTTAGAGGTCAGGCCCATGGCCCAGTGCCCCTTTGGGCCCATGGTCCAATCACTCAGGAGCATGGGTTTCTTTTGCTCTGGGCACATGAGGCCCACTTTATTCTTTTCTCTTCCCCTAGGACCCTGGGTAGAACTGTAGTTATAAAAGACAGAGAAAAAAATCAAGTCTGCCGCCTCATGTGACAGGTGGGAACACTGAGGCTGAGAGAAGGAAAATTGCTAATCCGAGGTGCCCCAGCAGCAGAGGCATGACTGGACCCGTGTCCTGCCTCCCAGCCGGGCCCCTGTGCACTTTGTTGCCTTGTCTAAGTCATACCCTCCCGCCCCCCTGCCTGGGCTCCCCTTTTCCTGCCATATAAGCCCTTTTTCTGTCATCTCGAGGACAGGCAAGGGCCACCACGGTGGGACGCTGGGCCCACTGACCAGCTGTGTTGCACGGGCCAAGTCTCTTCACCTCTCAGAGCCTCTGGAAGCTTCAGGCATACCACCCAGTCTCACCCGCCAGTTTCCCACTCTGGGGTGGGGTCCCCCCGCACCAAAACTGGAAACGTGCCCATTGATCCTTCAGGCATTGCCTCTAGATGCTCCCCTAAGAGGTTGATGTGACCCTGGAGCCCCACCTAGCCACAAGCAAGGAGGGGCCTCCCAGATTCAGGTCGAGCTGGTCCAGAGCCCAAGCCCGTCTCACCCCACTGAGAGTGCAGCGGAAGGAGGCAGGCAGTTCACTGCGGAATTCTTGTATGTGCCCCGCCCGGGTGGAATCTCAGCTTCCCAGCTCTGGGCTCACTCCTTAGTGCTCATTTTATACAAGTTGTTGCCTTTTTCATGGACTGCTGCTTTCAACCAGCTCCCGACCCCACCCCTGCCGGCTGGGGATGGAAAATGTCATTTGTAAAAGAAAAACATTGCATTTGTTCATTTTTGCAATGGGGGTCCTGGGGATGTGTTAGGGGGAGGTGCTGGGTGGAAGCCAGCCATCAGTGGCCACGTGGGCATGAGGGGCTGGTCCCACAGAAATGCCCACAGGACAGTGAGAGCACTGTCCTCCCCCACCAGCCCTGTCCAACACTTCACTGGTCCTTGGTTTAATAAACATTTATAAAGACTCCCTCTTTCCATCACTCGACCAATGTCCACTCACATTCCCTGGGCTGGGCCCCAGGGCCACAAGAATGAATCAAGTCCAGCCCTGTCCTGGACATTGTGTCCTCCCCGAAAAGCCCAATAATTACCCAGAATGGGGGTGGGGATTACTCCAGAGTGGGTTATGCCCTCTCCGCCTTCCTTATCTCCCCTCTCGCTGCTGCCCCAGGTCCGTGAACTTGCACGCCCCTGCCTGTGCTCAGGCTCTTATTCTGGAACCTTGCCTTTGCCTTCATCCCCACTCTCCACTGCCCCCACCGTGACAGACCCAGTTCCTGTCTCAACTGCAGAGGCTTTCCCTGAGGTCCCTCTCCACCGCCCTCCTCTGAGCGCCAATGGGGCTTCGTCTCTTCCTGGCACTTCAACTGCTATGGGAGCCTAACTCCTCTGTACACATCCCGTGACTGGGAGCTCATTTCCAACTCAGTGGCTCTACTGTCAGCAAGTTCTTCTACCTGGCCAAGGTCTACAGGAACACCCATCACCAACAACCATAGGTCCACCCCCAGCCCTCCCCTAAGGGGACTCAAGAGCAGTGGGGTGAGGGGGAGGGATGATGCACGGCATGCCCGGCTGCACGGGGAGCTGGGAGAGCCCTGTGGGAGGGTTAGGAAGCCTTCCTGGAGGAGGCTCGTTCACACAGCCAAGAAGGACGAGTGGACCTGGAAATGTGAGCAAAGGCACAGAACCCAGAACGTTCGGGCCACAGGTATGGGTGGGGAGCTTGCCCATCTTGAGGCTCAGCACCCCTCCCCACACACACCCCAGGAGCCCAAGGCTGAGAAAGTCAGAAAGCCCTCGGCCACAGGAAGGCATGTTGTCAGAGAGCTCCACTGTTTCTCTACCCCTTCCACTTTTCCCAGGATTAGAGAGATTTCAAATGCAGGGGTAGGGGAGAGATCCCTGGGACTTTGACTCAATGGGTCTGGGCCCTCCCAGAGCTCCACTTAAAGGAGCGGCCCTTGGGGGAGGGACATGGAACATAGGGGTCTTAAAGTGGTGCTGAAGGCAAGGGTAGGGGAGGCTGGGACTCCTGCAGAACAGCAAGCTCTGAGGCAGGTCACCGCCGAGATACCGCAGAGTGGGAGGGTGGGCGCAGACGCCTGGCCTTGTGCAGGGTCCTTCTTCCTGTGGGGACACTACCGTGCACTCCCAGCCTCGGCCTCCCTGTCTTAGGGGGAGCACAAGCCCTAGAGCGAATAGGGCATCCCTGAGGTCCCTCCAGAGGCTCCCAGCCCACAGTGCCACCTTGTGGTCGCTCATGGCCAGACACCCCCAGTCCCAGGGGGTGTGAGAACAAGGCCAAAGTGGACCTCCACAGTTTATGCAGCCAGCCTCCCTTCCCTGGCTGGACCACTTTCATCCTGCCGTGCTCCGCCCTCCTGGAATCCTGGTGCCAAGAACGGGGTCATGAAATTCTTACAGAATTATAGAGGTAAGTGCAAAGATTCCGCTTCGGAGTCCACAGAAAAGGGTTAACGCCCTGGGTCCATCACAGGTCAGTCTTGTGACTTTGACCCAGTCATTTCCCTGTCGGAGCCTGGAGAGTGGGGGTGAAAGCGTCTCCTGCCACACACAGGGTTGTATGAAGAGTAGATGAAGTCACACTTGTAAAGAACAGAGCACAGTGCCCGGCACCGAGTAGACGCCCCACAGATGCGTGTTCTGGAACTCCCTCAGTCGACCGTAGGATCACGAATTAGACTACAGAAACACGTGGTCTCATTTTGATAGCTGACTCAGAACTGGACAATTTCATAAAAACTCAAAATTTAGAATCCTAGAACAACACTAATTCACGAGATCTTAGCATTAAGTCAAGTACAGGGCCTTTCTAAGGCCCCACTGCCCAAGAAGCCAGCCCTGGTGTGTTTACATCACACACTTTACAAGGAAGAGACAAGCGCCCAGACAGTGCTGGTCAGTACAGCAGGGGGCAGCCTGCAGATCCCTGAGGAACCCAACCCCTCCGAAGCTCAGAGAGCCCACTAGATTCTTCCAATCCCAGGAGTTTTCCTCCATGGGTGTTACCACACCACCCACTGATGTCCCCAAATCACCATGGCCAGAAGGCTTTCAGAGAGAGGGCAGGGGGCGAGGTAGGCACTAACACCCACCAGCTGCCTCTGAGCCAGCTTGTGGGATGTTTTCTCCGACAAGACTGCCAGGCATGGGGTGGGAGGTGGGGGACAAGGGTCTACCCTCTGCTCAGACCTAATGTCCACCAAGACAAAACAGAGTCCATCCCAGGCTAAAGGACTTTGTCTATCCATGCCTAACGTACTGTGTTGGCTAATGTCTACTAGGGAGCAAATATCATTGATACCAAATGTTTATCAATACCTAATGTCCATCAGCGACAGCTCTCGCCAAGAGCAAATTGGACAAAGGGAAAATGTCCAGTGGTAGCAATGCCCGCTGCTGCTCCATATACACCAATGCCCAGTGTGCTCAGGGAGCTGACTGCAGTGATGGCTTCTCTGTGCATTGATACCTGCTGTCAGTCCGTAGCTCAACATCCAACAATAGCAAATAGCCACTCAGTTAAGTCATACGGCGTGTGTTTATTTCTCCACTTTATTTGTTGAAGTACCAGTAGTTGTATTTATGCGGATTAGTGTGTTTCTTGAGTTTGGCAGAAATTCTTCCTGTGTTTACAATTGAATTCCAAAAACTATTTATTATCTTTTACATACCCATTAATCAAAATGGTCTGCACTGGGAATGTCAGTGTACATCTCTGCTTCTTGACACACACACGTGTGTCAAGCATATATAATTATTATTTACAAATCCAGGAAAACAGAGAAAAAGAAACTGGCTTGAGGACATAAATGTCAAGCCTGAAACAATTTTCTAAATAGGTGATTCTTAGAAACAGCAATTGTTGCCAAAGTGGAGAGATGATTCGTGGCATCAGCTCTCCTGCTCAGCCAAAGAATTGACAAAGAGCCCTACTTTGGGCTAAAAAAAGCCAGGTGCCCTAATAAGGTTAAGGCACAACATAGGGGCTCCTTAAGGCAACAAAACCACAGTGAAGACGAGGCTCCAGAGGCAGGCTGCCTGGGCTCCAGCCCGGCTCTGCTGCTGATGGGCAGGTGGCCCAGGGTGAGCCACTCTAGCTCTGCTGGAGCCTCAGCTGACACGTCTGCAGAGTGGAGACGGCAGCTACCTCATGGGCTGTTGTGGGGAACATAAGCCGATGCACATAAGCACTTAGAATAGTGCCTGGCATGTATTAAGTGCTGCATAATAAAAATATGAAAATTTATTTTTTGGAAAATTCTTTTGTCAAACCGACAAGCATGCCGTGGCTCACAATATTCTCAAGCAGGGTTTCTTCAGTGGCCATCAGCTCTCGGCCGTGACTTCACCTGCGTTATTAAGCTTGGGACTTTGTCAGAAAAGAGTTTCTACCCTCTGCACCACTGCATGTCAAAGTTGCCTCACCATTACAGTTTCCTTCTGACCCAACCCTTGGGAGGGCGCAGAGCTTAGGAAACATCCTCACAACCATCCCTGCAGGCCTGGCAGTCACGGAGGAATGGCCAGCCTGCTGTGGTTTGAGAGGCAGGGACAACCTTCCCCTGGCCTGGTTCTCCCTGACAGCCTCACGCTGTCTGAAATTCCACCAGTGCTCCGTGACTTAAGCTGTGCCTGATGTTCTTCCTGGGTAGGCGGGGGCCCAGGGCATCACGAGTGGAGTGGGGGATGGAGAGGAGTGTCTGCGTGGCAATAGGGCATTCATTCACTAACTGGGGAGCAAGGGCCACCTGGCCACTTTATCTGAATGTGATATACCCTCAAAATGATGAAAAGGTGCTCTGTTGCTACGACACTTGTTAAGGCTATGATGGTAGGTGTGAGACTGTGAGGCCCACAAAAAAGGTGGTTGAAATATAAGGCCTCTTAGATAAAGCTGTGTCTCTACCACCCAGTGTGATGTCCTATTGCATTGGTGGCTCTCAGTGACCACACCTCCTTATATTACTACCCCATGTAGAACCTTCCTCTTGAGTCTGGGCTGAGCCTGTGATTTGCTTTACTCAGCCCAACAGTGGCTCTGAGTCAGTTTCCGATCTGAGTCTTAGGAGGCCTGGTAGCTTTTACCTTTTCAGTCTCGGGAGCTGCCGTGTAGGAGTCTGGTGAGGCCACATGGAGAACTGATGCGTGGGTCACTGGCCAGCAGTGATCATGGAACGCTGCAGATAGCTCATCGAAACGCAAGAAAAACATACACAGAGACAACCAGGTCCTGTGGGGGAATAGGAGCAGCAGGGCCACTCCTCACGTGGAGAGGGCCTTGGCCAGCCTCTCTCCTGGAGGGCACCATGGCCACCCTCCCTGGTGGGGAGAGCACACCATTCCCCCTCCGGAGAGGCTTTTTATTGGTTTCATTTGCATAAGAATTCAGGTAAAAGCTCATTACTCATGGCTAGGAAGTAAGGATCAAACAATAGAAAACAAGGAAGTCTGAGGGCCTATTTTGAGTCAGGGTCAAAGAGCTGTAAGACTTCTAAGGAACAAACTAACTTCCTCCTTGGACCCTTCTCATTCAACTGAGAGCATTCTAAACAAAGCAGGTTTCACAGGAGTTTACATATTCTTTCTTAGGCCAGATCACCTGGGGAACCCACCCTTTTCAGCACAGGGCAGCACCACCCTGTCATTGTTTCAGGCTTAGGTGGAGCAAGGGAACTAAGGCAGCCAAGAGATAAGGAGATTTTCTCCCAGACGACGAGGACTCAGGCTGTGTCAAAGCCGAGGAGCAAGGGTCCATTACCCCCTTTTGCTGTAGCCCCCAAAGTCCTTTCTTGGGGGCCTCCCACGTGATCGTGCCTGTCTTAGATCATTCCCCCCTTGGGGAATCTTACCCGTCTTTGGCTAACCAACCAAGCTTTGGGGTTCAGTTATAAATGAAGTAGCAGAAGCAGTGCTCCTGCCAGGGAGATAAGCTTTTGT